CCTTGGCGTTATTAGCACCACGCTCTAACCAACTGAGCTAACCGGCCATGGACATTAAGGTCCGATGATGACTTCATGACGGCGGGTCGACACGTAATGGCCTTTTCAAGTTGTATTTAATAAAAATAAAGAGTTAAATACTGAATGAAACCTCTCGAGTCTCTTCGACAGTAACAACCTGCCAATCCGTCCCTGAACGCACCACCAACCTCTCTTCTCCACAGTGAATGCCAAAGAAACGTGTTTAAAGTCCATCAAAGAGTTTAACAGAACAATAAAAACCTCCTGGACTTTAGAGAACATTTTAAAACAAACCTTCTGAACTTGAAGAATATATTTTTGGATTAAATTTTCTGTCATAATTTACAGACAGTAATCATTGTGAGACGCTGAGTGAAATTCATTAAATATAAAATGATGACCCATTGTGTCGTATTTTCAAAAGTATTTCACAAGTTTGACTTAGTAACTTTTTTTTTATGAATTTGGTAGAAAAGGACCTTTATTCAAGAGGACCTGCACTGAGGGAAACTTACGTTTTATTTAACACCTTATATTGTAAAACATTGTATTTTAGTGTATAAGCTCATAAAACTCGTGCTGCTTTAGAAACCATCGCTCCTGTCACTCGTTTGAAGCTTGTTCAGACGTTTCTCCTGAAAGTGATGATGGTTCCAACTTGGAAGGCCCGACCCTCGTTAACCTCGTTAGCAGCAGTGACCATCTAAGGTTACATTTCAGACCAGCAGCAGAAATAACGAAGCACCATCGGGCCAGGAGCAGAAATAAACGAAATTTAGATTAGTAATGCTAATTAATGTTAAGTATCTGAACGTGTTGAGTTTATTTTACCAGGAAACTGCTGTGATGGGAACGGCCTCCAGGAACCCTCCGGCTATGAAACCTGAGCTTCTTCGTGCCTCATTAGAGGAACTGCATGTTGACTCCAACAGCTATAAATATGGCGGGAAGGTGAGAAGACCCTGGAGCTTTTCTTCTACACCGATTAAGCAAAGAGCACAAGTTCAGCTGTGAATTGATTAATGAAACAACCGAACACTTCCTGGTTGAATTACTTGTTAAATACTTTGACACTTGACGTGAGTCTTCTTTATGTTTTTATTTTATTTTATTACGAAAGCAACCTAGGTGGTTTATTTTGAAACCACTAAACAACTCATAAGTTGCATGTGAGGATGAAACTTGATGACATTGAAATTAAAGTTGTTATTGCCCGCTGCTCGTAAAATTCAATTAATTTACTCATTTAGCGCCAAGTCACAGCAGAAGTCTCAGGGCACGGAACAGAAACATTCATGTACGTAAAATGTACGTTAATAACATTGTTTATCCGAGGAGCAGACTGCTTTGAGTTTAACTTCATCACGGACTCTCATTTTGAGCAAGAATGAAGGCGACAGTGGAAAGGAAAAGCTCCCTCATGAGGAAGATTTTAGAACAGGGCTATTCAACTGACGGCGCCTGGGCCGTTCCCGGCCCCAGGTGACTTTAATCGGTCCCACTTCAGAAAAAAAAAAACTTTTTTGGGGGGTGGCGGGGAGATTTCAGGGTTTGGGTGCTGTTAATTGCATTTATGATTCAATGTAATAAAAATAAAAAAATTAAAAGGTAACAGATCGTTGTAAACTTTGGTTTATTTACATAATGATTTTAATCGCTGGATGTCCGGCCCCCGAGCTGTTGGCTTTCAGAAGCTGTGGCCCCCTGAGAAGTTTAGCTGAAACAGGCTCAGGACAAACGGCCATCTGCTTCGACTGGCTGGGCTTGGTATAGGAAGGAAGAACAGATACACAATGGCAGGTCAAGAATCACATTTTTTTGTTGTTTTTGTTTGTTTTTTGAACATCCAGAGGACCTGACTTAATTTTTTTAGATAAATAAAAACTATTCAATTTTAGCAATTCATTTAAAGAAATTAGATCAATTTGTCCTCTAGTTGTCTAAGCCTATAGCAGCATGACAAGCCAACCCTAACTATAGGATTTATCAGAAAGGAAAGTTTTAATCCCAGTCTTAAAACTGGACAATGCCTCATGGACAGAAACTGGAAGTTGGTTCCACAAGAGAGGAGCCTGATAACTGGTAGCTCTTCCTCCCATTCTGCTTCTCTAGGAACCGCGAGTAAGCCTGCAGTCTGAGAGCGAAGTGCTCTGTTGGGAAAATATGGAACAGTAAGATCTGTAATATAAGATGGAGCTAGGTTGTTGAGGGCTTTGTAGGTTAGACGTAAGATTTTGAATTATGTTCTGAATTTGAGCCAACGGAGAGAAGCTAAAACTGGAGAGATATGATCTCTCCCAGTAACTCCAGTTACGACTCTGGCAGCAGCATTTTGGATCAACTGAAGATGTTTTAAAGAAGTATTTGGACATTTATTTAAACCATTGAGCAGAGAGAGGAGAGCAAACCTCCCGTTGTTTCAGTACCAAGATAATCCAAGTTAAGATTATACAGAAGTCTGGGACTAAATAAAACAGACCAGAGTTAAAGTTTCACATGTTCCCTTTGTTTTGCACTTGATCAAAACTACCAGTATTGAAATAAAAAGACCAATAAAGCACAATTATTTCATCAACAAGCAGAGAAAAAAAGAACAAATAAGTGTTATTTATCAAAAACACAACGAAAGGGAATGAGATGACACTTAGGTCTCCCATCATTTTACATAAAAGAGCTTTAAAAGGGAGAAAAGTCACTTGGAAAGGGTTAAATAGTGTTGGTGCCACGTCCATCAGTCATCTGCTCCTACGAGGGTCCAGAGTTTGGAAATCGTCTTTGTTCCTGTGTGAAACGAATGATGTACATTTTTCATACATTTACAATGAATGGCGGCAAAAAGTGGACCAGTAATCCATTAAATACTCATTTTCTTCATGTTCTGAACCAAATTTGAGTGAACAGCTTTAATTTCACCAGGATCTGGTTCGGTGAAGCCTTCCTGCTTGGTCCTCCTCAGCATCTGGTGGTGCTCAGAGGCCGTCTGGCTGCGGCGGCGTCCTCGTTGTTCTGGTTATCTAGGTCAGCCGTGGCTCCGTTTGTTTGCTTTTGGTTGCGTTTGATGTCAAACACGTCCCACTGCTCCGGCAGGAGGCCTTTGTTGAACAAAACGGACGCCAACCACGAAAACAGGATGATGGATACGAGTGAGATGACCATGATGAAGGTGCGGAAAGGAAAGTACTGGGTTAACTTCCCCTCCTCGTTCAGCCGGCAGCCGGGGAACTTGATGACGAGCGGGAGGCCGATGAGGGGCTCGCCGCTCAGAACCCGCAGGACGAAGCCTAGGACGTAGCCCACGATGGCGCCATAACCATTAGAGATCTTAAAAAAGAGGACGCACACCAGCTGTGAGAACATTATCGTGTAGGACATGTCAACGCCAACGAGCCAGAAGACCAGGACGCTGCTGTCCAGGAAGGTGAGACCAGTCCCAGCCAGGCCCACCACCACCACGGAGATCCGGATCACCCACTGCATCTCATAGTCTGAAGCCTGAAGAAGCAGAGAGACGACAACAGGCGGAAACGAGAGTCAACGTTCAAATGATACAAAGTTACACAACATTTAGATCCAGCCATGATTTTCTCTGCCTGAGGCCAAGAGATTTTATTAGAAAAAAGAGAAACTGGTTTTGATGCGGCTCCCTGTGCGAAGCTTTAGTCTCGATAGGAGTATCAAAAACTTGTGAAACTCTCTTTCTTGAAGTTTTTAAAATAAAAATAAAAAACTGCTCAGTGTTGTAGCAGCCTGCGATGTTGTAAACACTGACGCTGCATAAAGAAAATCAAACGAGAAAAAGACAAAAAGAGGTCTTCAACTTGTGGCTCTGGGGCTACATTTGGATCTCCAGCCGCTGTAGTGTCTCCTTGTATCCCAGATGAGTTGAAAAGGAGGTGCCGTGGATGCATTCCCATCTACCTGGAGCTGGTGGAAAACGCGGCTTGTGACGGCAGGAGGACACGGGTTGTTCTTCGACACCTGCAGTTCCATCCGCGGGGATGAGGGGCTCGGCAGGCTGCTTGGAGGAGTGGCCATTGCTCGTGGAGTTCTGCCCAGCATTCGGGCAGTCCCAAGTGGGCCGAGAGGTCTGCTGGGTCCGGGTGGACGGATCGTCATCTGCAGCCAGTTTCTTTGGATCCGCTGTGGGATGGACTGCTGCAGATCCTTCCTGCCCACAGACAGCATCTATAACAACTCTTTAATGAAATCAGGATGAGCTGCAACATTTAATTTCCTTTAGGGATTAATAAAGTATTTTTGAATTGAATTGAATGAATTGAATTGTAAGTTTGATGCAACATAACATGAAATTGAGCCACTTTAAGGTTTAAACTTACTATAGGAAAAGTCTTTTTTTTTGGGCACGGCTATTCAACTGGTGGTCCGGGGGCCAAATCAGGCCCACTGGTGAGCTCGGTTCGGCCCCTGAATGGGTTCATTTTTAAATAAAATAGATTTTAAACCATAAAACAAACTTAATTAATGACAATAACTGCTGGATGTCTGGCCCCTGAGCTGTTGGCTTTCAGTAACCGTGGCCCCCGGAGCAATTCAGTTGAATAGCCATGTTCTATGGTTTGCTTGTCCAAACCTTCACAAAATGTGCATGGGATGCTCTAAATGATCTGCTATTAAATCTGTACCGGAACCAGCTAAATATCAACTCAATCATGTGTCCACTCATTCATAAAGCACATTAAAGCTCTAATGTATTGCAGCCACGGAGCTAACATTTCCAGCTGACTGACAGGCAGAGACTTGTTCCACAGTCCTCACCTGCTTCCTGATGATGTTCTTGTAAATGTTTGCGGAGAACAACGAGGCGGAGGACAGCAGCGCCGAGTCCATAGAGGACATGACAGCAGCAGCTACGGCTCCGATCCCAATGACCGAGACGTAAGTGGGCGTGAGGTGCAGCAGCGAGAGGGGGAGGATCGAGCCCGCGTCGTTGCGCTCATACGGGGTTGGTAATCCATACGCTGTTGAGTTCCAGTCTGAGAAGAATTACCAGAATATTTAGATTCATTAATCTGCTGGGGGCAGAACAGAACCAAAACGGAACTTGCTCCAAATGTAAAAGACTTTACGCAGGTGGAGGTGTTGCAGGTGCACCTGTAGATGCAGCCACAGCTCCGACCAGAACAGACGGGATCCCCAGCACCAGGCAGAAGGCTGAAGAAGCGAAGCACGTCACTTGAGCCTGGGCGCAAGACGAGGACGACAGAATCCTTTGGTAGAAGGCCTGGTAGGCCAAACCACCCAGAGCCTGGCACAAACACACAATTCAAACGTGAACACACAGAAATACACAACAACAACAAGAAACCTGACTGGTACTGTTATACTGGGTTTCTATTTCTTTATTTTAATAACCAGGCTGGAGTTTATTGTTGACACAGTAGGTGTGAGTGTTTAGTCGTTACCAACCCTGGTCCTCGAGGAACACTATCCTGTTTTACTTGCTTCCCTGCTCCATCACACCTGATTCAGTGATTTCTTTACTTCCTTAAGCTCTGCAGAATTCTGTAAATCACCCATTTATTAAATCAGGTGTGTCAAACCAGAGTAATGACAAAAACATGCAGGATGGCGTTCCTCAAGGACCAGAGTTGGGAACCATTTTGTTTAGAGAACTCCGAGGCCTCTCACCAGCAGCATGAAGTCATCAAACCACTTGCCGGCCTCGTTCAGCTCCACGGAGCCCACCCAGGGATCCTGGAAGGTCTGGTTATACGCCGTCAGCGAAATGTCCACGGAGTGAGGGTTGGTCAACAGGAAAGGAACACAGACCCACTGCAAACACAAACACGCAACAAACTCCTCGTCATTTGGGTCCAGGAGATGTTTTCAGGTGAGATCCTAATGATTGAGTGTTGATAAAATGAGAAAAGTCACAAAGTTGCTGCTCATTGTGCAAGTTTCATGTCCCGGTGTTTATTACTTCAATGAAACTTAAAACAATTAACTTTATGAACGAGCTTTACCCCTCTATGTGCTGCCAACCGTGCCTTCATTCTCTGCTGCAGGAAACTAAATGTATGATAGAAAAATATAAAACGCTAACCTGTTAGTAGACATTTACTCACCAGGCTGACAAAGATGAGGATTAACTGAATGACGTCTGTGTAGGCCACAGAGTAGAGCCCCCCCAGCAGGGTGTAGACTATGGCCACCACTGAGGAGATGATGATGGAGTAGATGTAGGGCAGGTCCAGGATGACCTTCATTGTTCCACCTGGAAAACAGCAGGGATGAGTGAGCACAGGTGAACATGCTTCTGAAGGTCAATGCAAATATCTACTGTTGTAGATTAATAAATGGTTTTTAGACGCTCTGACGCGCTCCAACATGCACCCGGTCTGATGTTTTTAAGATTTGATAAGAAGCTTTCATATTGTTACACTGCTTATTTGTATTATTAACATTCAAATTTAAACAAAAGACATTTGTGCCGTTTGAATAAAAAAAAAACCTAAAGAAGTGGTGATGATTCAATTCAAACATGACATTTATAATGACAAAACAGAAACAGAATGGTCGAAGCAGATGGCCGCTTGTCCTGAGCCTGGTTCTGCTGTAGGTTTCTTTGTAGGAGTTCCAGTTAGTTCCCTACATCTCTTCGACACTAGATGGCGCCAACAGGCTCACGCCCGCGGACCATTATCCTAATGAGCCAAGTAGGTATCTCCGCAGACAAATTTGGAAGGCGTATCTGGAGGGTCACATCCGATGGGACGATAGAAAAATGGGCGTGTCTGGAGGGCCACATCTGATTGGATGAAATAAAAAAGGCTGAACAACAACAAAAAAAAGCCATTTGCGTTAACCACAGACATATTAAGTCTATGGTGTTAACCGGTTCGACATTAGCGGCGTCTCCATAATTTCTCTTTCCGCCTCTCTTAACTCAGAACTTCCGGTTACATTTCAAAATAAGAGCTACATAAATGGCTAAATGTTTGTTTTTAAATACCTAGCCGTTACTTTAAAAAACAAAATCCATTTTGGTTGTTCAATAATGTGAAAATAGTTACAATCGATTCATAAAGAAAGAAAAATAAAGTAACCAAAATAATAATGACACTTAAACTGGCTTTGGGACAAAGGATGTTTCCTTTAACGTCACATTTTCTTGTTCAATTTTTAAATCAGTCACTGCAGATGAGTGATTGTCAGTTTCTGTCAGATTTCTGCAACTGGAGCAGGTATTTCTGTTTACTGGTTAACTTCCTCAGCTGTCTCACATTTTAAGGGTCAATCCTACTCCATGTTTCAGCTCCTTTCATACATCAGGTCTCATAGAAGAACTTCTAAAGAGCAAATTTTGTTTTTAGCTTTTGTTTTGGGCCATTATCTCGTCACAGGACTCATGATCTTTAATTGAGACCAGACTTTTTGACAAACGGGAGCAGCTTTCGCTTCAGCTGCTTCATATTTCATTGTACCCAGACCACACTCAAGCCAACCTGTGTCAGGTGCAGCTGCAACCAAGAACAAAAGAGAATCTTCTTGTGTTTGACAGCAGATATAACACTGTTTCATAGAAACATTCAGTTTTTAAAAAGAGCTGACGTAACTTACCTAAAGAGCAGTAAATACAGCTAGCCAATCAGTGTTTGCCCTCCAGAAACGCCCACTTTTGGTCTGCAGAGAACCCCTTCTCTAATGAGCAGCAGTTGATGACTTCACTCCGACGCTGGTGCATTATCTGCCTACGGGCAGTTGTGTTCCTGGCCACATTTGTATTCCTTGAGTTTTGTAAAGTCTAAAACCTTGTTCCTGCGTGTTTCAGCTTTTACTCATGTGCTTCTCCTGCGCCCCGGACCTCCCTGCGTTCATCGTGAACCTCCTAGTGTTTTCTCCAGTCGTTCCTCGCCGTCCACCTCTTGCCCACCGACCTACGCAACCTTTCTGGGACCTCCTCGTTACAACTTCTGGAATCATTGGACCCCTGTGAGAAACTCTTCCCCTTTAAAGTAGGAGATTAAATATATTCTGAACCATCCTCGAAGAGCCAAGCCACCTTATTAACTGTTGTCCTTGCCCTTCAGGGTTCCAGTCCCTCCCACCCCTCGAAGCAAACTGTTATTATTTTCACATTGTAAAAAAACACTGTTGAATTATTCTCTGGTCATGGAGTTACCCCTTTCATTTACTATCAGGTTATTAAGTACATCCTCACATTATTCCTGTTAAAAGGGAGTTTTTCCTTTCCACTGTTGCCTTTGCGCTTGCTCAGGATGGGAGACTGCGACGACGTGATCAACGAGTCTGCTGGCTACCTTAGATCGAGAATGATGGAGATGTGAAAGGTCGCAGATGTTTTTCACTTACTGAAGTCAAATGTTATAACTCATATCACCATGTGCGATTGTTAAAGAGTGTTTTGTCTGGACAGAGTGGAGGCAGAGGCACGGCGCCTTTGCTCAAGCCTAAGAAGTTGACCGACCCTGCTCATGTACTGATAATATTTATAAGGAGACGCTCTTTTAGGCTCTCGGCGAGCACACCTGGGACGGAGCGTCATGTAACATGTTGATGCTTGTATTTTCAACTATGCTCCACCTTGCAAGATTAAACCTGGGAATTAAGAGAATATCTACCTCTCCCGTGTGGCACATTTATTTAAAGAGCTATTACAAGGATAATAATAAATTGTCCTAACAGAGAACTTTATTAATTGGCTTTTTTATGTGTGTGAATGTTTCTGTTCAGTGCCCTGAGACGACTTCCGTTGTGATTTGACGCTACATAAGTAAACCGAATTGAACTGATCTGAATAGAATATGGACTTTGACCTATAACAATTACTTCATCCTTCTTGGTGAATTAAACAAAGATCCATAATTAAGAAAATAGGTACCGGTAAGTGCCTTCAAGGAGTAAAAAGTGTGCAGAACTTTAGGTTCTCTGAGCAGCATGAGTGAGTGTCACCAAGTCACCCTCCTTTTCTCTGAGGTTGTGAGGAAGAGGTGAACATTTATGAATAAACAGTCGGTGCAGCGACAGCCCCATATATAGGGGGAGGGCCCTGCCCTATTTGACACCGACAGTCTCATTTACAGCCGATATCCACCTTATGATATGAAAGAGAACACCGTAAATGTAAACAAGTGAGAAAAAAAGAATCGTGTTACTCAAATGTCAAGAAAAACAACACCATCTGTCTGGATGGTGCCCTCTGGTGGCTGGTTCCTGTCCCTGCACTCCCTGGGTTCCCATTCTACAATTATCCTTATCTGTGTCACCTGTGTGTCCTGTCCAGGTGTTTGTGGTTGTGTCTCGTTGTGGTTGTGTCTCGTTTAGTCAGTGTATAGAAGTCTGAGTCTTTGTGTTATTCGTTGTCTGGGCATCGTCTGGTGAGATCTCCTGAGTCCCTAGTGGTTCTTGGTGTTTCTATGTGCTTCTGTACTGAGTAAGTTTTGCTGCCACGACAGTTTGTTTATTTTCCTTTATTAAAGTGTTTCTTGTTTTGCCACCTGGTCTCCGAGTCCTGCCTGCACCATCGGCTCTTTAAATCACAGTTTATGACACTATCTTCCACAGATTTCCGTGACTCAGCCTGCAGCCGCTCCACAACACCCATCCATCGATTGTCTCTCACCACCCTACGAGCTTTCACCGCTGTCCCACCACCATTTACTGCCCCCCATGTCCCATCTCCACCTCAGGTTTCTGTCTTCTCCACTAACTTTTCTTTGTCTTCATGCAGAGACATGCTCCTTCTGATTTACCCTTTACCCCCGGGTGCATTTTACTACATGAACGTTCTGTGTCTAATCAGTATTTTACTTTGCACGTTAACTCTTCATGCATTAGCCTTGCTACACAATGTGACGTGGCTCCAGAAAATTAAATCCCTCTTTGAGCAACCTGAAATTTAGATGAACTGAACCTGGATTTAACCTACTGGTAGATGTGCATGGAGACCTAGCAGGGCCTCGGATATGTTTGTTCTGCAACGTCTCATATGAACATTACCCAACACCATCACAGCATCGTAAGCGATTCCACAGGGTGGAGTAAAGGGGTTAGTTTACCTCATATAGTACTATAATTCATATTGTTCTGTACCGAGCTGTGCAAAATTAAAATAAAAAGTAAAGGTGAGGAGATTCTGTGCAGCACACGTGTGTGTTTGTGCAAGAGGTGGAGTAACTTACCCAGGCTGACAAGTGTGCGTGCCACCCACAGCACATCAGCTACGAGTGCAGGAAAGATCAGCGCGCTGCTCAGGACGTTCCCATACTTCCTTTGGAACGGGTCCATCATAGTCATGTAGTTGTTTTCCCGCATTGGTTTCACGAAGAAGAAGCCTCCTGCAGAGAAAAGGCAACAGAACTACAAGTGACTACAAGTTTGTGCTGGTGAACAAATGCAAAATCAAGTGTTCCCTTCAGATAAATGGTAAATGGACTGTACTTATATATATATATAGGGGTTGAAAGACGACATATTTTTAAAAGTCGACTAGTTGATGTGACGTCATAGGAACTCAAGATGCTATTCGTAAAAGAACATAATTTATTTTTACAAAAAAAAAAAAAGAACAACAAAACATTGGGAGCGTATATTTACGTGCCTACCATTTATCAAACTGCAACCTTGGACTCTTTGGATTCTATCTGACGTCGTCCTTGGCTGTGCACTGAGCGATGACATCACTCTTATCTGAACTCTTGCGGTGCCTCTGTGAGTGTCTTTGGACACGCTCACAGCCCCTGCGCCCGCCTCGCGCGACATGTCGGCATCATTATGTGCTCGTGTGCAACTTTTTTTTTTTTTAATTTTCAGGCTATTAATCTTCAGCCAAAGATTAAGAGTGTGTTAGGAATTTTTTAGCCTCCAAAATCTATGTTGTCACTTTCACCACTTTATCAGGTCTCACTTGTAAATGAGTCTTCGAGGCTCAATGTGATTTATCTGTTTAAATAAAGGTTGAACGAAAAAATAAGTAGCAGGAAAACCAAAACTATTACTAAATTGCAAAAGTTAGTTTTATTTTATTTAATCCACTAAATAAAATAAGCCACCGTGGCAGTGGTGGGTTCTTCACTGGCGGTGGCTTATTTTATTTAGTGGATTAAATAAAATGAAACTAAAAACAGCGGACGGGCGGTTGAACCGGGAGAGTCATCTTTAGTGAACTACTTCCACACTGTTGATGAATTTCTACCTTTTTGGTAAAACTTGACCTGCTCCTCGCCTTCATCTGCTTGGAAGAATGCGTTTTGTAGCCAGCGGCCCGGCGCTGATCACGTGACACGCAACACAATCGCAGACTGCGACTAGTCGACTAATTGATTCAACCCCTACTTATATACAGCACCTTTCTATCTTATCAAGACACTCAAAGCTCTTTACAACACAATCTGTGCCCTCTTTCATACAGCACTCTACTGGATCTGTACAAAGACTAATCAGAGCTTTATCACATTCATACACCGATGGGACACACATCCGAGGGGTTCAGTGTCTTGCCCAGGGGCACTTCGGCATGTGACTGCTGGTGGAATCGAACCCCCAACTCTCCCATTGGAGGGCGATCGCTCTAACCACTCACAGCTTCGCTAAACAAAACCCAAAATGCTATGCTTTAATCTCAACCAGGTCAGATTACTACACAGCATCTAAAAGCTGTTTTTAACCTAACCCTAACTGTGACATGAGCAGGAAGCAAAGCATTTAGCCCTGCTTTAAGAGTAATTTCAGAAAAACTTTTCAGATTAAACGTCTTTTCAAGGGGAATGATTATCCTATTTCTTACTGATATACACAAATAGCAATTGAGAAGTTTGAATTTAATTGTATGAAGTTTACGGTCTAAATTAGGGCTAATCAACTAAACTGCTACTGTTACTGAAAGCCAAGAGCTCCGGGGCCAGACATCCAGCAGTTATTGTCATTAAACAAGTTTGTTTTATGGTTTAAAATCTAGTTTGATTGGGGACTGCCATGGCATCTATTATTCTACACCTCGGAAGAGTGTCTACGTTTCTATCTCCGTTAATGCGGCACAAACCACAGCGTCTATTCCCACAAAAGTTATATCAAAACGACCGGCTCAGCCCCGTGATGTGTGCTATTACTTTCATTGGCATTTCGAGTTACCATGGCCACGTAATTTGCAAACAAAGACGCAATATTTCACCAACTCCAGGAACTAGTTGGTGACTGCCCACTTATTATTCTACACCTGAAAAGCGTATCTTTTTCAACTTTAATACGGCCCAAACCGCAACGTGGAACCCCACAAAAGTTATATCAAAACAACCGGCCCAGCTCCGGGAAGTGTGCTAATACTTTTATTGGCAATTGGCGTTACCACGGCGACATATTTTGCTAACGAAAATGCCAAATTTACCATAGGAAATGAATAGGAGAAAACTTTTCAAAGAAACTGAGTAACGTCGGGAGCCATTTTGGTTCAACATGCATGGAAGGCACCTATTATCACCTATTATTATTATTAATTAGTAAAAATAATTAACATGAATTATTAATGATTCATTTTAATAATTATATATTAAATTATAATTATATTAACAATTTATATTTAATATTACAAATTAATATCAATATTATTATCATATACGTATATTAATAGTTTATAGTAATTAATAAATCAATGCTATATTGATAATAATTATTAATAATATTTATTTTTAACAATAATTTAATAATAAATAGGCAGTCCCTGTCAAAGTTTCTCCAGGAACTTTCTAGTTTAAAAAATAATCCATTGGTGAGCTGAACTGAGTGCATCCGTGGGCCTGACTTGGCTCCTGGGCCACCAGTTGAATAGCCCCAGTCTAAATGGAAGAAAACTCAGTCTCACGTTTGAGACTGTGCTGCGAGGATTAGCCAGCACCTCGTCCACCTGTTTAAACTGGAAGCCTCTCTTTTGGTGGCAGTAACTTGTCATAAAGCTTGCATACGGTAATTTTGCTGTTCACTTACACAAAACGTTGGAAGCGAGTTGTGCGATTGTGTCAAGGCCTCACCTATGAAGAAGGTCAGGACATAAGGTACAGGCATGAGCGCCCAAACTGCTCCGAGCGTTGGGTTGTAGGTTGCTTCAGCAATGCCAAGGATGAAACCTCCACCAACCCACGTCGCTGCACAGAAAAGAAAATATGTTTTTTTTTAAGTGAATTTTCTTTTTTTTTGACTCAACAACAGGTTGATGTTTTCATCAGGAAGTTTCCGTTGTTCCGCATGAACTTCTCACCAGTAAGAGTGAAGATCCCAACGAGCAGGTTGATTTTGCGTCCAGCCAGTAACGTTACCTCCATGCTGCCGCCCGAGCACTTTTTCTCCTCCTTCTTGGAGCGCACGGACGCCCAAATACCCGTGCCCAAAATCATGACGTAGAACACGGCCATCACCACCAAACCCGGCACATTCAGAGCCATCCTGAAACACTTTGACGTGCTTTTCCTGTTGAGAGACACAGTTTAATTAAACTACACAGAAAATGCAACCGAATAACATTTTCACAAATTCAAATGAAAGATTCTGATGAAAAGGTGCACTGATATCATGCAGAAGCTAATAAGACAAATACAACAAATAAATAACTTAGATTAAAAAGAAGGAAATAAACCAAACGCATTTGGAAAAAAGTGCAACAAAGTTTGAAGACAGCAGCAGAAACAGAGACGATGAGGCTCTGTAGACGAGGTAGAGGAGGGGAAAAAGACGAGAAGGTGGGTGAAGGATGAAGAATCAAGAAGGGGTCTCACCATCACACTTGGCAGCACTGACCAAGATGGTGGACACATGATGTCCCCCGTCTTCAGTGGCTGTGGGGCCTTAGTTTGGACAAACATCAGGAAGGGAGCACATCTCCGAGCCACATGACAAACACATCGAGTTACAGGAAGATTTGGCTTTAAATACGAAAACGGAGGAAAGGACGCAGGTTTGTGTAGCAAGAAGATTTAAAATAAAAAATGGGAACAAGCTGTGAGCTGGAAGTTTACAGATAGGAAGTGAATTAATGGCAGTCACTGACATATCACAATTAACAACTGGTTGTAACAGCAAAAAAACAATAAAAAGGAAAAGCTAAAGAACATTAGCTGAGCGAGTTAAAACCCAGCGAGATGACGAGGATTAAAGGCGGCCTCTCAGTCGGCTGCGAGTCGTTGGCACACTGCATTCACGAGGGAGTCCCCCGACTTTCACACGGTGAGGTGCACGGCCCCGTCACTGACGTTTATGTTCAAAACTTCGTACGACGCAAGGTCTTCTAGCACGAGAGCTCTCCTCTGACAGAAAACATCTGAGACGAATGTGCAGGTCTAAAAACAGCGCTGATGATTAACCTGATGCTGCTCAATAATCCAGGTTGAAAACTCTAACAAAGTTAAGTCAGGTCCTCTGGACGGATTCAAATAAATAAATAAAAACTTGCTGGAACGTTTCGTCTTTTATCCAAAAGACTTTGTGACTCTGAGGAGCTGATGATTCATTATTATCATGGAGCAACGAGCCCAAGTCTCTGTCTTCATTTCAAAACTGCATCTCCTCAGATCAAATGATAAAACTGACTGTAGCTGCCAGGGCTGGTAGAAAACGAGCGAGGCAACAAATTTAAAGTGCACGGCCAAGAATTTGCAAGTCGTGCACATCAAGCACTGGCTGCTCAAAACACGTAAAGTTCAGTAAAACTGCAACACAAAACTTTACGCAACTTTAGAGTCGGCAGCTCGTCTCCCAACAGTCACAGCTCGATGCCCACCTGAAGGAAACCGGGTTACAGGTTGAATTAAACGAAAAGGAAACGACAACGACAACTAAAAATATAAACACAAATGGAGAAATTACATTTCCTATGAGAATGCAGTGTGAATGCTTATTGCTGAAGAAAACAGCTGAAATTAGCTAAAAGCATGCAGAAATGTAGCTGAAAGAACAAGCCTTAATTAGCAGAAGAAAGCAGAAAGAACACATTTTTGCTGAATTACATATAAATTAGCAGAAATTAGCCAAAATAAAGGAAATAACCTAAAAAAAAAGGGCTGAAATGAGCAAAGAAATAGCTGAAAAGGCAGAAAAAAGCTTAAACTACCTGAAAGAAGCAGAAGGAGCTGAAATGAGATTAAAAAAAAGGTGTGGAATTTGCTGAAAAGGCTGAAACTTGCATAAAACAGCTGAATAGTAGCCAAAA